TATCTGCCTGCTCTCTATCTATGAGTCTGTCTCTATTTTCCTTGGTAGTTCAGTTTGTTTATTAAATTCCATATATGAGTGAAATCATATGGTATTTATTTACTTTCTGAGAAGGGCCATAGAGCAAATATTTTAGGCTTCGTGGGTCAACAGGCAAACGCAAGGATATTATGTAGGTACTTATATAGCCATTTAAAAATATAGAAACCATTCTTAGCCTGTGGGCCCTATGAAAGCAGGTGGCAGGCCAGGCTTCGATTGCTGATCCCTCTCTATGGCCACAGTTCCCATTGGATGGTTTCAGCTTTAGAAAACTGGCTCCAGTGACCCCATCTCTCCTCCTTGCCCGCAGGGCAGGCCGAGGGGTGTAACAGCTCGGGTCCCTCCCTTAGCCCTGCCCACACCTGTGCTCGTTTAACCCTGTTGCGAGTGCCTTCTGTTTCCTGCCAGGAGTGTGACAAATCCAGCGAGATGGTCCAGGAAAGGGAAGCAGAGTTTACGGTACTTCATGAGGCTAAATGCTTTGTCCAAGGCCTGGCGATGCCCACGGGCACTGTGGCTGGAGTGGGGCTCATCCTGGAGCATGCAGCACGTTCAATAGGATAAACACTGACTTTCTGGTAGGAAGTCTGCCCGTCTTCTGGACAAACAGTATACATTTTGACTTTTGAATTCCTTTCTGTGCTTCTATTTTCAAACTTCCTTGTCCCGGCCCGTTCCTCACCCCAATTCAGCCCAGATATGCATAAGATGACCTCTCTTTTTCTCTCCTTCCCTCGAAGAGATAGCAAGAACAGTGTCACCTTCTTGGAACGGAGGGTACCAAAGCGATCCGTGTGCTCCAGGAGAGTCTAACCGGCAGGAAGCTCTGGGAACGGTTTCATAATTACATCCTGTGCCTCAGCTCTGTAACACCAGAAGGTGGAACCCTACTCTGTGCCAGGTACAGTGCTATTCACTGCCAGGTCTAAGGTCCGGTAAGCATAATGGGTGCCTTCCAGGGGTCACCGCTGGTGGAGAGAAGACTCATAAACATGCTCAGTCACACCAGAGCAACTGCATCTCTCCCACTGAGCGATGTGCCCTGAGGAGCGCGGCATGAGCTGCTCCGCCAGCAAGAGGGCGGTCACCCTTTCTCAGGTGCTAACGAGGGAGTCCGGTGAGGCGCTGAGCCAGTCCACCGGCATCACAGGTCTTTCCTGCCTGGCTGTTTGGGTGATTCTTTGAGACTCAGATTCCCAGCCACTTGGTATGAATCTAATAGTTGTGTTTGTGGGAAAATGGACTATGAAATCCAGTGTGGTCTCCTTATCGAGACTCCTGACAAACCCACGAGCTATGATCAGGGGCTCTTTGCCAGACACCTCAGGGAACCTCCATTGGAAGGCTGGCTGGGACCTTCGTGACAAGTTCTTAACTGGGCTTGTTAAAACCCAGGTTGCTGGGGTCCCATCCCCCATGTTGTTGATTCAGTGGGTCTAGGTTGGGGCCTGAGAATGTGCATTTCTAACAATTCCTGGGGGATGTTGATGCTGCTGGTCCAGGGGCCACTGTGAGAACCAATGATTTAACACAAGGACAAAGGAGGGGGCTCAAGAGCAGGGACTGTGGAGGGAGCTGTAACGGGGGCAACAGAAGGTTATCACTTGGGGAGTTTAGATGTGAAATTTGAAAAGGGAAGCTTTGGGGGGGGGGAAATCATTTTATTTAATGAAAATAAGTGAGCAAGTTGTGATGGACGGTATATCTTTGAAAGCCTTTTGTGAGACTCCGAGTCACTAGGTATGAGACGTTGGGCCTGGGAATCTGTATTTTTAAAGCTTTCCCAGGTGCTTCTGATGCTCAGCTAGGTTGGAGAACCTCTGTACGCTCCGTATCTAGCAGTGCCTGGCACATAGTAGATGCACAACAAACACTCAATGAATTGCTACTAATTCCAAGTGGGTGTTGGGAATGCTTTTAGATTCCTAAACCTAGTTGTCCACGTCCTTATTTATTTCATAAAACTCAGTCTTAAACCCCCAGTTGATAAAGGAATAATGTGCTGTCAAGCACAACTTAGATTCTTCAAACAGAATGCATATTCTCTCAATGTCTAAGAATACAGAAATAAAAACCTGGCTGTAACCAAATATGTTGTGTTACTCAGAAGGTATAGATGGCTGCAAACGACATCAAAGAAAAACCCCTTTCGCCTTCATCTCTGAGGTCCTCTGCGGCTCCTTCCTGTCTGTGCACGCATGCACGCCACTGCGGGTTCCACATTAGAAAACAACTACAAGCAAACAGCTGTTAGTCAAGCAGCTACATTTCGCCCACAGCTTTCTAGAGTTCAACCCACTGCCCCAGGGGTTTTATCTTAAAAAAGAATCTCACTGCTTTAAACACAGGCGAGCCAAAATGTAAATACCTTGCAATTAGTGTGGGCATAAGCTGGGAAAAGACAAGTACCAATAAAGTGTCACTTGCTGTTTAAAATGGTAATTCCTTTGATTTCATAGGAGATGGGATATTCTGAGCAAATAACTCAGAGAATGATGAATGTTATTTTTACTGTCATTGGAAGAGGGGTAAGGCTATGCGTTTGTGTGTGTTTGTGTGTGTGTGTGTGTGTGTGTGTGTGTGTGTTTGTGAAGAGAGCAGGCTCTTTTACTGAATCTTTCACTTGAGGCCTTGCAGTTGGTTCAGTTCTGTTTGGAGCACAGAAGTAGAGGCTATAGACCTGAGTTGGGGGTCTTGGGCTCCGGACCTGGGTCGAGCGAGGACTTTACTTACCTCAGTTTTCTTAAGTTTTATGAAATGAAGAAATGGGGACAGACTCACTCAGAGTCTTTTCAGCTATGATTTTCTCATGCTCTTTGACAATTGGCATAGTGCAGATGTTAATGGGCAAGCCTGAAGAGCAAGGGTATTGAATGAATCACGTATATTCCAAGACATTTGTACCCCAGAGCAAGAGAAAAGAGCCTCCAGGAAGCATGAACTGCCTCCTATAGTTTAAAGTTCCTAATAAGCCAGAGAGATTTTAAGATTTGAAGCTGTGGGGGGAAGAGACATGGTGGAGAAAAAAGGGGTTTTGCTCGAAGCCAGAGAGAGTGAGTCCTAGATTGATGGCCAACTCAATCCACCAGTGTGGCGGGAGCGGAACGGGCTTATGTTATGGCAAGAGGAATTGCTTACCGATGAAATGAAATGTTATACAATTTATAAAGATCCTCTGGGGTTACTACCCAAGTCCACCTTCATTCCGCTACTTTGCTATGATGGTTTAAAAAAGCCTAGTTCTCAGCCTTGATAATGCAGAAATTGAGAAAAAGTAAGTACCTGCACGTTTAAGTCCACGAGTTGAGAAATTTGTTCCATTGTGATAATCTGGAATTTGGTTTGATATTTCATCATGTCAAAGAGTCTGATTCTTACTAAAAGTGCTTTATCAGGAGTGAGGATGGATTTGTAAGTAGAAAGAGACCCACCTTGATGGGAGAGTACCACTTCGGCGGGGAGGAGGGCCGCCGCATGTTGTTGTTGAGATTTCGAGGCTCAGGGAACTCGTACTCCTGCTCTGGCATTTTGACTCTCGCATTCTTTGCCTTTTCCAACTTAGCACCTTCTTCTGTGGAGCCCTTTTCTCCCCAACGGACCTAAATTAAATAACATACAAAAAACCAAAATGACAAAATAAAATATGATGCCCCCAGAGAATGGGAATCACAAATACATACGTGATAGGCAGCGCAGGTGCTCCCCCCTCCTCAATTCCTTTGGGCTTTGAGGGCCAGGGAAGAGGGAGGTGTGGGAAAGGGAAAGGGCGAGGGCTGAAGGAGCGGAGAGAGCAAACCACGTGGATGGATATTTAGGGGTGGGGACAGCAGGTGCAAAGGCTTTGCAGGCACAGGTGAGAACTTGGATTTTATTCCAGGGAGAGAAGAAACCACTGGGGGTTTGAGCAGATGAGTGAACTGCTTCAACTCATGGTGGACAAGATATGGGGTGCACAGTTAAAAGGCTGTGCCTTCCATTTCTCCATCTAATGCCTCACAATGTATGTCCCTACCAGATCCCAAGTATGAGTTTTCATCAGTTTGCTTGGGTTTTCCATCAGTGAGTAGTCAGCACATAGATATGAGCACAGCAGTCCTCCCTTATCCCTGGGGGATGCGTTCCAAGTGGATGCCTGGAACTATGAATAGTACTGAACCCTATATATACTACCTACTTTCCTATACACACATACCTATGCTAGAGTTTAATTTAGAAATTAGGCACAGTAAGAGATTAACAATGATAACCAATAATAAAATACAACAATATAACAATATACCAATATGAAAGTTATCTTTCTCAGGAAACTAGCATGAATTTCTTTTTCCTTCTTCACAAATTTCATGGATTGAAGATTTGTTCTCATTCTAGATCTTAGCAACCTCCGAATATGATTTTTTTTCTTTCTTGGGAAGTCGAGAGTTTTCATCTTTGTACTCAAAGGTAACATTTTATGGCTTCTCTTCGGCACCTGCAACCTGCCAGCATCACTGCTCTTGGGCTTTGGGGCCACTGTGAAGTAAAAGCGGTTTCCTGAACACCAGGACTGCAATGCCTCGCCAGATGGTCTGATAACTAAGAGGGCTACTGACGGACTAACCGAGGACAAGGAGCATCTACAGTGTGGATACATGGGATAAAGGGGTGATTTACGTCCTAGGAGGGATGGAGCGGGACGGTTCGAGATTTCATCATGCTACTCAGAATGGTGTGTAACTTAAAATTTAAGAACTGTTTATTTCAGGAATTTTTGGACCATGGTTGACTGCAGGTAACTGAAATTGTGGAAAGTGAAACCACAGATAAGGGGGGAAGGGACTACTGTACATTAAACTGTTCTCTTACCTCCATCCTTTATTTTTATTATTAATCCTAACCAGAGGATATTTTTCCCATTCATTTTTACAGAGTAGGAAGGAGGGAGGGGTGAGGGAGAGAAAGAGAGAGAAACATTGATGTGAGAGAGACACATCGATTGGTTGCCTCCTTCACCTGCCCTGACTGGGGCCAGAGATCAACCTGTAACCCAGGTAAGCACCCTTGACCAGGAATCAAACCTGAAACCCTCTTGTACCCAGGCAATGCTCTAATCACTTAGCAACACCGAGCAGGGCTTACCTCCATCCTTTTAATGCCTCCAACACCTCGCCCACCATAATAAGAGGCATCCACCGTAGGCCACTTTTTCTTAGGCAGACCATCATCATCTTCCTCCTGCAGAGAGAGTGTGGACATGAAGGAAGCAGAACACACGCTGTAGGTATATGTCCACGGTGGCAACATGGACAAAAGGAGACTGTCTGGGTGAGATGATAAAATAAAAACAGAAACCTCCAATAACAATGTAATTCACAGTATTTCCCCCCATGATATAGTTTCAGAAGGCTTGTGTTGTCAAACCAGGAACCTTAGACATCTTACATATATGGTTAAACTTTACAGCTGGAGGCGGATATGTGTGTGTCTGTGTGTCATCTATGAAATAGGGCTTCCCTGGCCTAGTGCCATTTTCCAAAGGAGAACCTAAAATTATATCATCCAAAACTGAACATAGCAGCTCCAAGAACACAAGAAACTCCAATAATAAAGCTGCTTTACTCAATAAGAAACGGAAATGGCTTGATGAGTCTCCTGAGTTTTTAAATGACAGGGGGACAACCAGGAGAGATCACCTAATTGAGCCTTTCCATCGCCCAGAAGAGGACAGTCGGATTCAGAGATATGAAGACATCAATGGAACTCAAGTTCCAGTCAGGTTTCCTGATGCCTTGTCCCAGGATCTTTCCCCCACATTTGCACACCCAGCTGCCCTCACTCTCATCTCTTCCTTCCTTGCCTAGAGGACTTACTGTCGCCTCTATTTCTGGGCTGTGCCTGAGTGAGGAGGCGGGGCCAGCCTCCTGCGCATGTGCAGGGACCCGTGTTTCCACAACAGGAAATGCCAACACTTAAATCAGCTCCACGTGCTCCTGATCCACTAAGCCTGCTGTTTAATCCCCTGACCCGAGCTTGCCTGCCAAAGTCAAACAACAGCAGAAGACAACACAAAGGCCCAAGCTTTGACCAACGAGAGAGTTGAAATTTCCCTGCAGTTACCATGGCTCTGTTTATACATTCTAGAGACTGGAGGGTTTTGCAATCTTCGGATGAGAAGGGAGTCTTTGATGTGTCTTTGGCCAAAAGTTGGTGGATTAAAATCACAGTGCCCAGCAATTCCACTAAGAAAACCGGCAGCACCCGGGGTGACCCTCACATCTAATGAAGTACAAGGGCTCTTGGCAAGTTGCCCTCACATTGCTCTTCAAGGATGTAGCAGGGAGGGGAAACCGCCAATGTAGAAATACTCTATGATTATTGGATGACAGATGGATAAGCTGACTTGCTTTGTCTGAGCAAAGCAGTAGGAATCAGGGGTTGGTGGGCAGTTGGCAGAAGATGAGCAGGAAAGAGTGGAACTGAGCTACCAGTACCCACCTGAGGTGATGGCTGAGACCCTCAGCAGCCGGAATGACAGTGATGCTACAGAAGAGGTTGCTTAATATTCGGTCAGGAGTTATTCATCGGCTGCACTGTGCTGCAACCACATACTTTTAATCCTTCAGCAAAAGTCCCTATGCAGATGGCCTTGTGCCAGCGGTGCCTTTGGGGGAGTGTGGAAGTCGAGTTTGTTAGGTGGTGTCCAGCAAATGAAGAAGGGGAGTTATCAGAGGAGAGGCAAGAAGTAGGAGTTAGTGGTGCCTGGAGAAACCACAGAGCTTGGGGAGTGCTGGTTTCCCATCAGGGGAAGTTATGTTTAAATCTTAAAGGATGTGGTGGCCCCAGACATCCAGTTGGCTGATGTTTGGGTCACATTTCTCAGATGGTAGAGGACCATCTGACCTGCTTGTCCTCAGGCAGACCTGGGCATGTCCTCGGTCACAGTCCTGCTCTAGAAAGAAATAGCTGTAGACTCTGAGGTCAGATGCACACATTGGGTTAGCCCCAAATAGGCTTAGTCCCGTGCTGCCCTCAGACACTGAACTTTTCTGTCTTTCCAATCATGTCAGGCTTTTGTACGGCTCCATGCCCTGGACAACACCACAGTCTTGATGTGCACAGCTCCCCCTGGAGTTGTGCATATCGATGGCGGCCCTCTTAGACTCAAGCTACAAGTTCTTTAATATTCCTGCTTCTCTGATATCTAGATGGCCAGCTTGACCCAAATAGGCTCTCAAACCCCGATTCACTGCAGGTGCCAGAGGGAACTATCTGTGGAAAGGAAAATGTAACAGAAACAGAATCGAGCCCAAGGAAATAGTTTTAAATCAGCCTTTGAATCCATTTAACATTTCGATGAACCATAACCCATCTTAAATCCTTGTGATAAGCCCTGATAGTTCCAAATAAGAACCTCTATTTGTCCATTGCATCTTTCACTCACCTGGCCACTGTGGCTGAGCCCCCTGAGCCAGTGCAGTGTGATATTTTGAGAAAAATAGAGAGGATACAGCTGTCAACACAATTGTTCACATTTATAGAGGAGTAAGTTTTGTGAGGGTGATGACATGAAGTAAGTAAAGGGCAAAGGCCCCAGAAACTCCCAGGCCCAGGAGGCTCTGAAGGGCTGAACCTAAAGTAGAACTGGCTGCTTATGTCATCTGAAGTCTTTGGGGATAAGCCAGAGAAGTCATCCTCGATGTCAGTCTTGGAGATGAATTCCTAGGAGTGAACTGAAAAATCCAGCAACCCCTTTGTTTGCAAATATAAAAATTCCAAATGACCTAAGATTTCCTTGTTCTGAGCTGTAGAACATGTCATGGCACCAACATACCCTTCACATACACACCATGACTAAGGATGATGCAAAGATTTTCTTGTATTCTTCAATAAAGAATAGTGTATTCATTTTTTTTAGAAGTAACGTGTCTTTTTTTAAACTACTGAAATATTGAATACTGAATTCTGGGCCTGGTCTAGTACTCCTGTTTGGCATGTACACAGGTGTGTGCGTGTGTGAGTGTGTATCGGTGTGCAGTTGATGTCCACTGGTGGTAGATTAGCCCTTCACTCCTCTAGAAGGGGAGGCTACTCTGGCTGTCTGTGTAGACATAGCTGTGAGGGACTGCAGGACTGCTGGTTGGTCCTAGACAACTTGTATAATTTTCCCATCACTTAGTTATTTACATCTAAAAAATTCTTGCCTCGGAGAAATTGTTGGGATCAGTAAGCGTGATAATAAACCTAAAAATAAGTTCATCATTCAAAGGCAGGTGCTTATTGTTAACTGGATGCCCAGTGTCAATGCCTTCAATACACATCCCTCTCCCTCTCATAGAGTCAGAAAATCCATGGAACTACTTAGAACAAAACCAACAGCTGAAGTGCTCTATTATTGGTTTCTCCCATAAACTGTCAATTATTGGGAATAACTAGAAATCAGTGAGGAAACCTCACTCTGTGGCCAATTAGAGCAGAAATGCCCCTCTCAGTTGTTAAAATGGAGTTTCCTTGCTTTTGCTGAGATCTTGACATTTCAATTAATTTTTCTTTGACCCCCTCTTTATACAGAAATATCACTGTTGGTTGCATGGAATCTCAAAAAGTCATGGCTTTTTATGTTGTGCATACTGGTGTTCCTTATTAAAGAGAATCACTGTGGAGCGCATTATAAATTTGTGTTCATTCTTAAAGTTCATTATTTAAATAGATATTTGTCTCTTGGGATACGATGCTAATAGATCTGATGAAAGTTGAGATAACAGATCCTTGACTTGCTGATATATGGATGGCAGAGAGTGACTTCATATAGCTAGTAATTGAGTGTTAGACAACAGGCTAAGCTCTCTGGGGATAAATCAAGGATTAATTAGATATAGATCTTGGTCTTTAACTAGCTAATGATCTTAAACATTGACGCAGAAGGAACAGTCAATGAAACACCCTGGGAATGCAGAAAAGGGAGAAATGAGAAATGAATTGTGACTGGAGGAATTAAAGTGTGGTTTCAGAGATAGTAGCACATGAGCTGTGCCTGAAGGGCTGGTGGGATTTGAACACAGGGAGCTGGAGTGGAGAAGGTTGTCTGGGTTCTGACTATGATTTTCAGGGCATTGTGTAAAATACTCTGTGTGGGCTAAGTTATATTCTCTGTTTTTGTGGGATTTCTTTATTATTATTTTTGCCAAAACACATTAGGTGGGAGATTAGGGCTGCTTAACGCCCAGGGCCAAGGGACTCTCATGGCCAAGATGCACGCTAAGGTCATCAGCACCGCCTGCAGCCCGCTCGCCAGCACGGAAACTCGCTTAGGTCCGGCACAGCCCTTTAAACCTCAGGCATCCCGAGGTTGTCTTTCTGCGTCAGAAACCAGGTCTGCCTTCTTCAGGTGAGACTTGTCTAAGAATATTAGATGAAACTGGAAAAACTTAATTACTTCTCTTGCTTTCAGCTATTCTTTCTTGGTATTTTTCAGGTTCGAGCCCCACTCCCCCTCCAAAATGGTAGTTCATTCTACACGTACTTATTAAACTGTTCTGTGTGTGCAGTCCTATGCTAGATGATGGAGTCTGGGGTAAGCCATACCCCACAGTCTTACACCTAAGTCTCCTGGCATATTTTGGCCACAGTAGCTGCCACATCACCTTCCAAAGACAAATGTAGAGCCAGCACCAGAGGAAAGGGCAACGACTCCTCTAATTGAAAATAATGAGGGGAGGGAAGAGGGCAAACAGACCAACCTCATCAAGAGAGTGTCGTGACCTATTTTTCTTTGGAAGTACAAGAGACAGCTGCGCACAGCAGAAGCACTGCCAAACTGGAACTTGCAGGAACTAACCACCGTGCTTTCTCTTGAAGGATTAGGAAAAGGCTTTTGTGGATGTAAAGAGGGTGTTATTTTTCCCCTCCCTCCTCTTTGCACGGCAATGTAATTTCCTCCCCTGATTTCTGGGCAGGAAGTTAGCATTCCAACAAGATGTGCTTTAATTGATGGCAGCTATTAAATCCCTTGGCTTACATGCATATGGTTCAGGATATAAGAGCCACATGGAATTTTAAATGCAATCATGATTCTTTCTGTATGTAGGAAACTTGACAAAGACATTGGGAGGAGGAATGGTGAGGGGGTGGTGCACGGTTTGCACACAACAGACCTTAGGGATTAAGGACCATGAACTAGAAACCTCATCATTATAGCCTTTGGTCCCACTGGGTTTTCAGACCTGTACCCTGGTTTATAAATTGGTGAGCATTGCATCCAGGGTGGCCAGCTCTCCCGGAAGTGATCAGAGGACAAGGAAAGCCACTGGCTGAGCACTCTTACCCCCTCTCCCCGAATATGCTCCTTCTCACCATCAGCCTTCAATGCCTCCACTCTATTCTACCCCGGGCAAACTTCTCACTGGCCAACTTATGGTGGAGCCTAAGATATTTTCCTTCCTTCAAATGATGAGGATTTGAGAGTATGGCCAGGATATTAGCATATCCCCTTCCAAAATATTTTCATTACTTCCTGGCAAATCTTTAGGTAACATTGTTTTAAATTAAAGAACAGGCGGTTCCTAGAATCACTGATTTTCCCTCATCTGCACACATAAAGCATAAGTCTCTGCAGGGAGAAGAGATCCCTAAAGTGTCTCTTTTAGAGGAAAAATAATTGTATTGATAAAAACGTTTCTGTTTTCATCTCAAATTTTATCTGTGCAAGGAGAAACCTTCCCAAGCCTCTGTCTGTGACTGCCAGTTTAGTTCATTCCTGTTCATCTTTGGTTGGGAAAGAGCCAAAGACCTCCCTGCCTGCTGCTTCACATGCACTGGGAGCCTGGGCCTGACTTAGCTCTGCTTTGCAGGGGCCCGAGTCTCAGCCCAGTCCACTCAGCTCTCCACCCCACTCCCACACCCTGCCCCGCTGGCTACACCTGGCTCTGGTCACTCACCTCACTTTCCTCAGCAGGAGGTGGAGGCATCTCCTTGATAATCTGAGAAGAAAAAATAAAGAACAAGTCAGTGGAAATCTCCAGCCACCTGCTCTTCAAGAGGCCTGCTCTCAAGAGGTGTCTGGGTAGTGTGGCCATAATTGCCATTGAAACAGGCCCAAGCAAGACAGGCTTAGTCAATGCCATGATGTGTTTTTGTGGGCAGAGTAGCTCAGTTAGTGAAAGTATGGTCTAGGCCAGTGATGGCGAACCTTTTGAGCTCGGCATGTCAGCATTTTGAAAAACCCTAACTTAACTCTGGTGCCGTGTCACATATAGAAATTTTTTGATATTTGCAACCATAGTAAAACAAAGACTTATATTTTTGATATTTATTTTATATATTTAAATGCCATTTAACAAAGAAAAATCAACCAAAAAAATGAGTTCGCGTGTCACCTCTGACACGCGTGTCATAGGTTCGCCATCACTGGTCTAGGCTGAGGGTTCCATTCATAATGGTGTTTTGTTGTAGTTTTGTATAAAGGAAAAAATGTTTCATAGATAACAGTTTCATCTCTTATCCCAGGTAGCTATCGTGCAAATTTATTCACTCATTAATCCATCCATTCATGCATGAAATCATTTACCCGTCCATTCAAACAGCTACATATTTAACAAACAATTGTACACGACAGAGGTTGAGATGGTGCTGCAGGGAGGAGTCAGGTAAGGACCATACAAGCTGTTGGTAGTTCTGTTAACTGTCACTGGTCCCAAGGAGTACCCATCCAGGGAGGGTGTAGGGTGTGAAAGTCAGGCAGATCGATTCCCAACAGTGGGCAGTGAAGAAAGGGTAGCCATGGATTTTTTCAGGGCCCTGAACTTAAAGGGGTACAAAGGTTTACATAGCAACATTATAAGATTGTATTTTGCAGTTGCCCTGTCATTGGGGCTGAAGAGAGACATGTGGACACTCGGGGCAGGCAGCAGTTGGGGGCCCCTTCCATCCAATGAGAGGATGAGTGACACATGGGAGAAGGACAGGGAAGGAGGACAGCTGGGTGGCAGTAAGCGACCTCTCCTTACTCGTGTCCCCAACTTGCACACCCCATTCACAAAAGGAAAGCCCTTGCAGTTCATTAGTCTTTTACAAGGCAGTTTGGTCATCATCACGGTGACTCTACTATGTCCTTTGTTAGCTCCTTCTTCTCATCTCAAGCTTATTAATGGAATTTTGGGCCAGCTACATACAAGGCAGTCCTTTTCCTTAAGGAATTCAGGTAAATACAAAGCTCATTATATGTCTTTTGATGTTTTAGTGCCAGGGCTGGTGTGGACCACTTGTGGATGGGTGCTTGGGCACTGCCCACCGGACCAGTTCCTTGATCCAGTTGGAGAGCTCTCCTAGCTGCAGAGCAGATTGCATAGTAGGCATCAAGCTCTTGCCTACTACGCACACATTTCCTCTGACTTAACGAGTATTCTGGGATCTCATTTGGGCTCTGATTCCCACTGTTATCATCTGGGCTACCACTATCTGTCATGTCATCTCTCTATGTTGAGACAGGCTACTGGCTTGAGGCTCTATTAACACCAGCCTGGGGATTGAGACTCCACTCATTGAAAAGGACAGCATTCAATTAATTAAGGACAGCAGAGGTTAAGGTCTCCAGGGGTTTCAAACTATCATTTCATCTGCCTCCACTTCCTGGCCATTGTGGGAAGCCTGCTGAAGGTCTCTGGAAAGCATGAAGCCATGATTTTGCTCACCCACTCAACTAAGAAAATCTCTGGGGAGGGCCATTTCTGCCCAGAGCTGATTTCCCATCATCCCAGAGGCACTGATGATTTAAAAACAGGAAATGCCTGGGAATACGAGGGAGGGTGGGAGGCTGGGGACAGCCATCTAGAATGTGTCTCTCCTCTTTGGGCAGGGTTAGGGAGGGGAGTGAGAGGGGGCAGGACAGTTGGGAAGACAGACAGATGATGACAGGGGTGTTGTGACAGTGTGCATGGGAAGGACCATGGGTATCTGGAGGTTGGGTGCAGAGCAGCTGAGCTTCTGTCTTGACAGGGCTACCAACTTCCTCCCTCCTTGCATGGCAGCACAGTGGAGTTGTCCGAGCAACCCCAGACCTGCCCTTCTCTCACTGAGGATTTGACAAGTCCTTGAACCTCCCTGAGCTCCACTGTCCTCATCTGTCAAACATTAACCTGGCAGGAATTGAGTCACGATGAGCAATCATACTTGTAAAACACCTGGTATACAGTGGGTGCTCAATTGATGGCGCAGACTGTTATTATTATTTTCCTTTTCCTTTCTTGCCATCTCTGTGTCTTGTCGTTATTGCATCTTTAACAAAGGTTTCACTTAACCCCTGTGTGAACTAAAAGGCTATGTATGGTCGTTTCCAGATGGAGCAGCCTAGAGGCCAGAGCTTCATAAATGAGTGACAGGAGGCTGGTGTGCAGGCAGTGGCCAGGGGCTACAGGAGGTCAGCAACAGCATTTTTCACCACATATGTGTGGGCACATGCCATCAGCGGGGAAGGGCCGCAGCAAGTGGCCCACCACTCCAACCAAACCATTCAAGCCATGTCCCAAAAGACAGTGCCAAAATACTCAATTTAGTATTAATCAAAGGTGGACTAATTTACAATCCAGATTTCACGCCGACATGCTGTAAACTGGGCACCCGAGCTTCTGGAAAAATGCCACCATGTTCAGGTAAACAGAATTTAGGCACCTCCAATCTGGTCTCATTGGTTGGGTGTCTGACGATATTCAGCAGGAAGGAGGAAGAAGTCTTCCTAATTTCCTAGTGCTTCAAAGCACCCCTCCCAACTACCCGCTCCCCCCATCACCAGTCTTTCACTGGGCTCAGAGAGCAGCTCGCCCATAGGATGGCAGGGGAGTGTTTCAAAGTGTGATCTAGACAGGCTAAGTTGAAGTCATGAGATGACTTTTCCAAGCCTTGAAACTGAGTAGACTGTCTCCAAATGAGCCAAAACCTCCTGCCAAGACCAGCATATGCGCCACCCAAAGAAGTGACCTAAGCACAGGGACACGTCAGCCTTCTCCAGCCTTACCCCTCTCCCTCCCCCCCATCCAGAGTGCATGTCGCCTGAAGGAGCAGGTGGGCAGCTCTTGAATTCAGCGGGCCACCCAAAGAAGTGACCTAAGCACAGGGACATGTCAGCCTTCTCCACCTTACTCTTCACCCTCCCCCCCATCCAGAGTGCACGTCGCCTGAAGGAGCAGGTGGGCAGCTCTTGAATTCAGTGCCGCTGCCTCCTTGCTGTGCAGTGGCCCAGGGCTCACAGGATAAAATGCTAACTGCCCCACCCCCCATAGGCCTGCATGATGTGGCCCTACCACCTGTCTACCTGACTCCTCTCCACTCTCCCCTGCACTTCAGCCTCTGGGTCACCTTCTTGTTCCTTCCATGCACCCTGCTGATTCTCACTTGCAGCATCTGCCTAAATGCTTGCCATCCCTTCCTGCTTTATCGCACACCTGTACATACCCCCGTTAACACCTATTCATTCAGCAGATCACCAATAAGTACACCTCCCCAGGAAGTCTGTGACCTCACAGAACAGGCAAGTTCCTGTTCATGGGGTCTCAGGTAACCCGGTGGTTTTTCAATAGCACTTTCAATGGTAATTAAAAGGTTAATGGCATCATTCTCTGCTTCCAAGTAGTATGACTAGAAAGCATTTCCAACAAGAATGCAAACTAGATTCCGCTGAGCACTACCAAGCGTAGGCTCAACTTGGCCCACTCCCTTCTCAGAAGGTTCTGGGAGCTTCCTCTTGGTTGGGAGTGGGCTCCTCATCTCTTTTCTCATTAGGAGGAACAACTTAAAGATAGATAAGCTTGGAAGGATCCTTAATCAAATGTGTAAAAAGAAAATTCCTCAACAAACGTATCTATAAACACAACATGGTAGAACCAAATGGCAGTGCGGGGGGCGGGGGGGTGAATCCGGGGACATTTTTCATATTTCTCCTCTTGAGGCCCACCCCACCCCTCCACTTACTGCCATCTTCAGCTTACGTATTGTGGATGGGCAGAAAGTGACCATTTGCCTCCTTGGAGTAGCTGCCCTAGAGTCCGTCTGGCATTAGTGGGTGGACTGGCGAAGTAAATTGGGGTAAGAAAAATGAGGTGGGATATGGAACTTCTGAATTCTAGTAATGTTTCTTTGCTACCTGAGAATTTCTTGAAACTGTCTCTGCTGTGCATTGGGAGATATGGCTCCTCTCTCCACTTATCAGTGCTTTTAGCCCTGGTTTTAGCCACCTTTGTTTAGGTAGACGTGGGATGGCATCAGATTTGACAATGACTGTTATATGGGTTAAGGAAAGAGAGCTAGAAAAGACCAGATAGAAGCTTACTAAATTGAAATCTTACTGGCCACTGTAAGTCAAAACAAAATCAAGTTTTCATGTACACCTCTTAGTTTGGCTGCTGGAAATAGTCATGATGGAAGATGTGGAGATATCGTTAGGTTGGCAAAAATACAGTAGAAAGATCACACATGCCCAGGTCCTGCTTGACACCTGGGAACTTATTCTGGTTTTATGAGTCAAGTTCAACTGTTTAGGTCTCCATAAAACTCTTTCTTAAAATTTATTTTATAAAATGTGAAGGTGAAATTAAGCACATAGTGAGTTTATTACACTTGTTTCTTTTTCTCCAGAAGTATCCAAATTCAGCTCCTACTTTGTAGGATTTGATCCTGGCCACTTGACTCGTTCTTGCTATAACTCTGCTGCTACAGTCCTGGGCAATGGAATGTAGAACACAGTCTACCCTCTTCCTCCTCCCAGGTGATAGCCACCCTGGCTCACTAGGCGTTGCATTTAAAGTCACGAGTGAGGGCAACATGCTGCATCAGAAGCACGCAGCACGGGTTAAAGAAAAGGCTATCCTGCTGACAACAGCAGAATAGTACTTTCCTGGCATTTGGTCTTATTTGGAACCACACAAATAGCTTTTTTTTTTTGTTATGAAAAGAGAAACTTGGCAAAACAACAAAGGCTGGATTTCTATTT